TCAGGGCGCGGGGCCCGGTCGAGGGGCCGGGGGGGGGCGCGGGGCCCGCTCCACAGCTCGCCGCGGATTGGACGTGAAGTGACAACGGGGCAGGGCCCGCCTCCTCTGCTCATTCGCGGGGAGAGGAGCCTGCACGAGCGCGGATTGGGCGAGGCGCTGTCAGTCCCCGGTGCCCGGGTCGGCCCCGCCTTTTCTGCTTTCCAGGCGGGGCTGTGGCCCCCCCCGTGGGGGGGGCACCCCGACGGGGCCTCTTCGCCTCGTGCCCCTGCGTTGCCCCGCGACCGTCCCCGAGACCCGCAGCGCGCCCCAGACCCGCCGCCCCTCTAGACAGGGGGCAGAGAGCGAGGCCTTTGGTGCCTCGGGTTGTAGCTTTTGCTAGAGGGTGACGGGCCGTACCCAGGTAGTGAGGTTGCCTGGTAAAAAGACAGGCCCAGACCCTGCGTTGGGTTGGGCACCCAGAAAATCAGCTCTGTCCTTTGGATGTGAAACCATGGGGGTGATACGACGCTGGCCTTTGCGGTCTCATCACATGCGTTTGACTCACAGCCGGTGTGGTGCTGCCGTGGCAGGCGTGCGGGTGCAGACAGGCTGTGGTCAAGCATCCAGGCAGCAGCGGGCAAGCCCCGTCCTCCTGCTGCTCCACAGTGACTGGCTGATGCAATAATGAATGTAACTCTTCCTTTTCCCATAGCACAGCAGATAAAAAAATCCCAAACGCTATCCTGCGTGACTAGACTTTTCTAGCATGTTTGACATTTATGGCTGGTGAAGTGTTTCTGAGTCATGGCATTGCTTTTCCTTTTCTTTCCTTTTTTAAACTTGAGTTTATGAAGTGTGTTGCTGGGTTTGCCATGGAATCTGTCCGTCTTCAATCTGCTGTATTTAGGGAAAGGGAGGGGCCTGCAAAATGTTTGCTGTCAGATGGTTGCTAGAATACATAACTATATTCATGATGTCAAATGCATTTTAAAAATAATATTTCTGTTCCATCAGAGGAAAGAGCAGATTTACAAGTTCAGTACGTGCATCAAAAGAGGATTTACTAAAAGGGTACACGATGGTTTTGTTAGTGTCATAAATGTAGACCTTACAAGTGAATGCACAGTCCTTGCTGCAGAGAGGTTAAAAGAGAAGGTATAACAGATCCATTAGGGAGAGATCAGTCAACACTTTGAAATTCTTTTGATAAAACCATCTTCACTCTCCCCACCTACACACACTTTTGTGTTCCAGCCGCATCTTTTGAAGCAGGACTATTACAGCTTGTCTGTTGATAAAGTTCCTTAATCAGGAGTTGCTACTGTGTTGCTATTACAGTCTCTGCCCTTTCATTCATGTCTTCGAAGCAGACTGTTTTCTTCACTGCACATTGATATCTGCTCCCTGAGTGAGAGATCGTTAAGGTTTTAAATAAAGGTGCACCAATTGGATTGACATACATAAAAGAGAAGTTTATATTATTGGCTATCAGCTTTTTTTGGCTGTTGTAGTCAATAATGTTCTTCGATAATTATGCCCCTGGATGCCTGGGTACCCTCCCCCAGATACACCCATATCCCCTCACTGGTGGGCCGGGCCGGGCTGGGTTGGAGTGGAGCAGCTACTGCAGTGTCCTGGGTGCTGGTGTGGTGCGGCATGGGCTGGGGCCAGGACAGGCGCTGTAAAAGGTGCCAAATGCTGCAGATGTGACTGGGACAGGGAGGGACGGGTGGAGTTGAGCTTCCTGGTCCAGCATGACCCAGTCCACATTTAATATCTGTTATCAGATCGGTATTGGCTGATATGGCTAGTTAACAATTGGCTATCAGTATTGGCCAAGAAAATCTTTATTGGTGCACCCCTCGTTTTAAATAAACTGAAATATCTCCGAGCAGAATGTTTTATATATTATAGTGTTAATTTCCTACAGCTATAATTGCAAGGTTTTTTTTGATCTTTTAATTCAGTGCAATCTAATGGTCAGAAACTGTTAAGAACTTGTTCTTGTTTAATAAAAATACAGAATTCACGTTTTGTAAGTGTGACGTTTACAGGCTTGACATCTATGAAATGTTTGCTCTTAATGGTTTAGTTTACATTAGTAATGAAAACTATGGGATGGTCTAGCTTGTCTAAAATGAAAGTTGTATCTATCAAGTTTATCTGACTGTAAATGGAGTGTGAACATCTTGAGAAGAAGATTGTGATTTTAAGCAGGAATGTTAGTTGCTGCAGAAAAGGATGGCTGTGCAAACAGCTTGAAGTAAAAAAAAACTTGTATTTTGTAAATATTAGCTATGTGACCTTTTAAAAGATAGACTCATGGAGTAATAGTGCTCTATGGGAGCTCAAGAGGTCATCTAGTCTAGCTCCCTGCTTAAGCAGGATCACTCTTATCTATAGTGTCCTACACAAGCTTTTGTCTAACCTTTTCTTACAACTATGCAAACTACCCTATCACACAACTACCAGCCACATTGCCCCACAGCATCAAGACCATCCTAACTTAGCATAGGTAAAGCAGGGGGTTGGGGGCTGCCAATGTCATTCTGCTGAAAGCAAAGGAAGTGGCTGTTAAAATACACTTGAGAGTTGCAAAGAAAAGGGCTACAGAGAAAGGCAACCACTGCACTTCACCCCCCGCCCTTGTAGCCTATGTTGTAGGGCAGAATTTCTTTCTGATCCCAAATGTGGCATTTGGTCTGATCCTGAGTGGAGGGGCAGACTTCAGGGTAGATAAAAATTCATGATTTAAAAAACAAAATCAGTTTTTTTTTTAGTTGGACTTTTAATATTTTTATCTTAATTATAATTTAGCTTTCCTTTTTAAAAATAAACCAGCTTTAAAATGAAATTTGAATTCAATACAGCATATAGGCTAAGGTATACAATTAATATAATCTATTAAAATTATTTAAATAGTATGTTGGGTCAGTGAGCCTCTACTAAAAACTCTGGAGTTAAAGGCTGATTTGATTCTGTAAGAATGAGAGGGGGAATATGTAACTTTTGAGGCTTAAAAAGATGGCACATTATTTCATGTATGTGGGGCTTGACCCTGAAAGGGATGCAGGGTCTATACTACTGGATGCAGAGGATCAGCAAAGTCATCACAAATGTTGGAACCTGGCCTCTGACTCCAGCAGACACTATCATGTGCATTCCTTGATCAGGATGATCCACTGAGCCCACCTTGTATATTTTCCAGTGGTTCTCAATCTTTTTTGTACCAGGACCCATCTGTAAACATCAATTCCCGTCCCAACCCAGTGCCCTCATTCCTGACCCTCTGCCCCCAGGCCGCAGCCCCGCGATGTGTGGGACAGGAAGGTATGTGGGATATGGGGGGTGGAGGGGGCAAGCAGCCCCTCGCAGGCTGGAACTCTACCAGCCTGCAAAGGAAAACCCACAGTTTCTCATGTTTTTCTCCTTTTTTAAAGTTTGTTGATCCATTTTTAAACTTTGTTCATAACCCTTTCATATATTCTTGCAACCCACGTTTGGGTCATGACCCACAGGTTGAGAAATGCTAGCTCACCGAAAAACAACCATCTGCTCAGTAACTGCAAACTCCATGCTTCTGAGTGATTCTGGGTATTTCAGTTAAATGACCTTTCTTGGTCCCTTTGCATGTTTACAGAGATGTAAATATTACTTTCTCAAGTGCTCTATCTGTATCTCGAAACTAAAATACTGCAGTACACAAGGCTGGGGGCTACAATAGCAGATATCATGGATTTTTTTTTTTGGGGGGGGTGGGGAGTGAAGGACATGGTGAATTATATCACAGGGAGGAGTCTTGGTTTGTTGTTAATTTCTTGTGCAGAGGAGGGAGAGGGAGCAGAGTAAGGAGCAGTGTGTGCAATAGAAAGGACCAATGCTGGGCTTAAGGCAGTGTAGGAAAAGGAACAGCATTTTGTGGAACATCCTTTAGTCTTGATTTCCACACCTGGAAACTGCTATGGCTGCAGATCACAAAAAAGACCTTATTTAGGAATATTTTCAAGAAATGTCTGCCCTAGTGGGGGAAAAATAGAGGAACATATGCCAAATGAAACAGTGCAACAAAGAGATGCAAGGCCTGGTGGCCTGAATGAAGTAACATTATGAAAAGTGTTTCTCAGAAAGCAGTGAATTTGAAGATGGTGATGTGGAGATGTTTGAGCCATCTGGATCAATTGGTTAGTAAACTTGCTATCTTTGAGCCATTCTTATGGATTGCCTGCCATATATTGTAATGCT